TTTCCCCCCTCAAGAACTAATAGGCAACAGTAGTCTACAGCACTGTGTTTAAACATCTGTAGCCTAGATCAAAAAGTGAAGGGAAAAACCCAAACCTCAGGCATCACTCTTCTTTCCTTCTGAGGAAGCATTGCCATTTATGCCAGCTTGATAAAAATAATCACACCGAAGTATAGTTTGTAACAAAAAATTCTAATGTCAGGCTGCTAAGGAAGGAGGGGAAAAAATTATTTTCTGTCACTTTTTTCCTATTTAAAAAAAAAAAAACAACACAGAAACAACTAGGACTTGTGCAAAGAAGGATATTGAAGACTTTTAGTTTTAGATAAAGGAAATACATTTTGCAAACCACATTTTTTATAAGTGCAACATAATTTTTTTCTTTGTAAATCATTGCTGGGATTAGATCACTTCTGTAGCAATGTAATTAGGGGAATTCAGACAGGGAGGCAGCAACCGGATTATTGAGGGGATTGAAACTTGACACTTTTTCTTTTTGCCTTTTTTTGTTTGTTTGTTAGTTTGTTTTTAAACACACCTTGAAGGCTTCTCTTTTCAACAAATATCTGAGGGCCTGCTGAAAGTAGAAGAGAGCTGAAGGAGGAAAAAGCCAGGAGTTAAAAAGAAAAAAAGTACAGAAAGGACTATCTAAAGCCACCTTCACAACTATTCGACCTGTATCAAGACCAACAAATTTTTAGATGTCCATGTGTCAAGTTTAAGCATTTGGAATAAAACTTTAGTTAACAGCATGAATTAGAAATAGATTCCAACTTACTCCCATGCTGCTCTGTGTATTCAATGTGTTAGCTGGGGTGGCAGACTGAAATTACATTTTCTGCCCACTACTAAATTAATTTAAAAAAAACAAACAAAACCACACCAAACCCAGAAAGTTCTGAATTCAGGAATAGTTGCAGAGAAATTTTATTTCCAAACCTAGGCATGATTCTTGTTTTCCATTTATATCTTGGAGTCCGTGCTGAGTTTCACTGAATTTTTACTTCAAACAAACCAAGAAACCTCAAAGGCTAAACTCAGCCAAAATGTCAGCTTTCATCTCACTTAAACCTGAAGCCATAAATAGAATGCCCTAAATTCATAAACCTGGCTTTAGCTCCAGTTAAAAATGTAACTTACATTTCAAAGACGTGTTATGCTTATGAGGGCTCCACCCATGAACCAAATCACTCCCTCCAATTCAATCTCTTGTTTTAAAATGTCAGCTTATTTGCAGTGCCGTGAGAACTTGTTGCTTCCAAAGTAGTTTTCCTTCTGAGATGTGCTACAGTTTTCTACTAAAAATATTAGTATTTTAAATGCTAAGAGCTAACTCAGCAATTTACATTGTCTTTCTGCTGTGTTTGCCTTGTCTTAGGGTTTAAAAACAAAGACAAGAACTTTAAATACACATCAAACAGCTACAAATGGTGGAAACAGTCATGCAAGTGTTTGCTGTGATACAAATGACTTAAGCTGTATCTCACATTTGTGCTTAAAATGAGAACACAGAAGTCTACTTTTGACAGAAGGGAAGTTATCAAGCCCTTCAACGATGTTCTGCCCCAAATGACACCAATTCAGCACACTGTTCTCTGGGTAAGTTTGACAGCCATGGAATTAGGGAATCCATTGCACTAGCTACTGTGAGAAAAATTTGTCTATACCTAAACAACTGGAATCACCATTGATGTCACTGAAACAGCTGAGAGAGGCTCCAACTTGAAAAAACCATGCCCTCCCCTCTTCTCTACTCTTCTTACTACCCTCTCAGTTTTCCTGAAGTTACAGACAAATATTGATTTTGCTGCTTTATTTTCTCACAGTCTCAATGTTTAAAAAAAAATTTAAAAAAATCAAGCCTATTGGTTTTACTGATTTGCATCTCTGCTTTCTCCTTCTCTGCAAAAGCAGAAAGCGAATGCCACGTTCCCTTCCTTGGGTAAGCCAGAGCACATTCATGCAAAGCTGCAAAAGAACAAAGGAATTTCATCATCATGGAAATAACGTGCAAAAAACCAAACCAAAACAAAATCTCTGCATGAAAGGGAGATCAGGGAAAAGAATATTATGGAAAGAATAACCCATCATGGGGTAGAGCTCAGGGAATGGAAAGAGCCTGACAGCCTGAAATAACAGCAGGGACAGATCTCGCTCACAAGACACCGAACGTGCATTACAACATGTCAACCTTATTGAACAGCTCATTCAGGTTTCTTCACTGTTTCCCCATGCTGGAGCGATTGGGCAAGGGTACTTCATGGAGAAACTCCCTTCCAATCTTATCTTATTAAAATAGTGGTTAGGGAAGAGATCAAAGAGTAGGCACAAAGCAAGATCTCCACCTTTAGAACTAGAAGACTCAGCAGTTGAAGGATTTGGCTGAAAGACTGGCACAATATGGGGCACTGGGGAAAAACCAAAAGAAGGAACCCACACAAACCAACCAACCCACACCCCTGTCCTGGTTTCGGCAGGATTAATTGTCTTCCTATCAGCTGGTACAGTGCTGTGTTTTGGATTTCGGATGAGAATAACATGGATATACTGATGGGTTTAGTTGTTGCCAAGCAGTCAAGGACTTTTCAGCTTCTCATACTGCCCTGACAATGAGAAGGTTGGGAGGGGACACAGCCAGGACAGCTGACCCAAACTGACCAAAGGGATATTCCATACCATAGGACATCATGCTCCATATATAACTTGGGGGTAGGCCAGGAGGTGGGGCAGCTTGGGAACTAGCTGAGCATCAGCTTCAGGTGGTGAGCAGTTGTGCTGTGCCTTGCTTGTTTTATATATTCTTTTATCATTATTATTATCTTTTTCTATCCTATTAAATTGTCTTTATCTCAACCCACAAGTTTTAGTCCCCCTCCCCAATTCCTTCCCTCATCCCACTGTGAGGGGAGGAGTGAGTGAAGAGCAGTGTGGTCATTTTAGCTGGTCGGGTTAAACCACACCACCAATAAAGCCAGACAAAATGGATTCTCTACAGTTTTGCTAAAGGAAAACGTCATGAAACTTTTCAATCTACAGCTGAGGCACAGCTTTTATCTCTGGTCAGCAAAGAGGGAGGGGGGAAGAGGGAAGCACAGCTTGATTAGCTGAGACAATTATTTCTAAAGCAACCTCCTCCCCACCTAACTTTTCTTCAGCAGTCACGAGTGTTTCCACGTCATTCTGCACTCCTTCGTTCATTACAGAAAAGCATGAAACTAGAGCATCTATCCGTTGTGGTCCTTCATTTTGAGACACCAGGAGGACAGTAAAAATAATCTTAATCAGCAAGAGATAAGCCACAGGTTGGGTTGAAAAACACTTCACTAGATATACAAGCATTTAAAAGAAAAGACAATTATCAGTTAAAGAGAAAATCCATGTGAGTGCAGATGCATGTCATCACAGATCAGTGCATTACAGGAAGCACTATCTCCTGGAAGTTCAAGTATTCAGAACTTAAAAAAAAAAAATCCTACCAAGACAAAGCTTAGAAATGCTATTATAGCTGCCATGTTCCCAAGACTAAGTTTTAGGTTTGCCACCAAAAAGTAGGGGAGAGACAACACCGCTGCTTCCAACATATGATTTATTTCACCTTACTGTCAATGAGGTCCATACTCTTCTCACTACTATTCTTTTCTTGACAGCTTTACCCAAGTACAGCCACACTAAGCACCTCTTTAGTATTATACTAAACACCAGTAGCTTCTTCTTCTAAGGGTCTTGAAAGACAGGAGGGCTTGCCTGAGCTACCTGGCTTCCCCTCTAGGAAATCCTCCCCTGGCTCCTGAATCATCACAGCTTATAAGGGAGTTTCAAGGCAAGTGAAAACTGGCAATGCTTTCTCTGAAACTGCAGCACTGTAGGGTGCAGGGACCCAGGAGCCACATCAAGTTACAGGTTAATCAGCATCTGCAAAGCACAGATGGGGTGCTAGCTAGAGGCAGTGACCTTGAGCAGGGAAGGCTGACAAGTAGTCCAAGGTTGGGTGGATTGGATTATTTCAGTATTCACTGGCATTTCCAAATAATTACTCTGCATTAGACTAAGATTATATTCATAAGCTCATACATGATTATCTGCATAGTTCAAGGGCAAAAAATTGAAGAAACAGAGGGGGGAGCAGCTTTCTCTGGCAGATAAAGCCAGAAAACACAAAGTCAAATCTGTGATTAAATTAACATGCCCACTATACCCAGCTGAGAAAGACAGTGAGTTTGGGGTTTTTCTCCCATATTTTCTTCAACAAGAAGAATTAAACTTCATTTCCCACCAGAAACATGGTACAACTATGTTTCCCCACACTACAGGTTCAGAAAGATGGGGAACTCTGGCTCTGTGTTAGCCTTATGAAAATCCCATCATAAATAATACTTTAACAAAACACCAGAGGTACAGTAAAACAAAAAAAAAAACCCAAACCAACAAAAACCAACCTACCACAGAAAAACATATTGTTTTTGAAAGAGTTGCCTTTTGCAGAAGAAATAACACAATGCTTCTAGCATAGCCCCAGGTTAACAAGTTCCATTACACTCTAGTATATAACAAAAAGATGAAGCACAAGATAGACTTTAAGAAAAAATCCAATGAAGTTATTAGATACCTTTATTTTTCTCAACCCATTCCCCAACTATTTTACTCCTGACTTCAAAAGTAAAATGCACTTATGGTTATACAATACCCGAGACACTGGTCTCACTAAACATGTAAAGTTGTTCAGAAAGTTTACTATGAAAAATCAGGTAATTTGGAATGAATCAATTTTACATCTCCATTTGAGGCCAGAACATTAGTTCACCAAGCACACTTTGTGTTTCTGTTGATGTAAATCAAAGCACACCAGTCCCGATTCATTTGCAGGATGGTCATTTTACACAGCTCTCATAGAATAAAGGTGACGTTAGTCTATCAAGTCTCAAAATGAAGATAATATAAATGCACAAGAAACAGTATAAAACAACAAACCAACTTTAAAAATAAAACTGCTGCATATTTACCTTTGTTTCCCAGGAGAATGGAGCCGAGTGTTCATCTTGCCAAGTTATGTCCTGAAATAAAATTCAAGAATGACTAAAAATCAGAAGAGCAGCTTTACCTGCTCAGGAGCATCATACGCAGATGACATTACGTCGCACTGCTGGAAGCATAACAACCACTACCACAGAACTAGCTGAAAAGCGAGAGTGCTACTTAGAGATGGCACTGATTACAGTTTAAGACTGACTGAAAGCAAGCTCTCTGAGAGGAGCATTATCAATTAGTACAGCAATTTAACCTACCAAATATATGAAGGTTTAACCTGGTCTAAACTTCTTGAAATGGTTTCTCTACAAACAACTTTAAAACATATATTTCCAGTTTCCTACTAGGGATTTTCTTCGGTAGCCACTAGCAACACACAGGGACAGAAATAATAAGAGGAGCAACGGCCTTAGGGAAGTAAAGTCCCATTCCCTCCTCTCCGCAGACCCAAGAGCACGTGTGCAACCAGGCAGTCATGGGGCAGCGAAACAGCTACGCATCCATCAGGTCAAGCCACAGCTGGATCCAGCCATGACGAGACACATCATTATGCCACTTCAATGACGATCAGTCTGAAGTAAGCATTCGGTGCTGTTGAAAGAACCACATGATGTCCAGAGTAAAATTCCAAGCTGAAATAGCTTCTTTTAAGAAGCTATTTTTCTGAAAATAATCTCAATTTGAAAAATTTAAATAATCTCTTCAAACACAGCATGCCCTCCAGAAAGACATGCAACCCACATCAAAAAAATGAAGGGGTAATAAATAACTAACTAAATAAATATATGTTGTTCAAAGCTTACAACAAAATGATCTCATTTCTATTCCTAGTCGTGGATGAGACCGCTTGGCCACCCCAGTACTTCAGGGCAGGAACAGGAGTCTGAAGAGTGGATGGAAGGAGAAAGGCCAGGAGGAACCACGCACAGGGAAGGAGAGGACGGGACAAGACCTGGAGTGCTTGTTTCACACTCCTGCTGTTCAAAGAATAACAGAACTAGACCATGTTTTAAGCTAACACAGGAACCCCACATCTTACCGTGACTGCCCTTTTTTTCTTATTTCTGACCTCTGCCTTTACAGAAATACATTTCTCAGACATCTGATAGCATTCCCCTGATCTGCCATCTCTTATTTCTATCCTAGGCAGATTTTGCTGGCCAAGTCCTATGAAATCACAATTAGAAGTGTCTGAAACCATCTCCTAAGCATGAAAACATGTCACTCTCCAACGATTACACATCTGTGAAACACAGAGTTTCTAGCAGCAAAGTATTTGTGGTATATATGAGGGTGATCTCACGCTCTTCAAAAGAGCTGGGCTGATAGAGACCATCTAAAAGGAAAGGCCTGGGCTCTGCTGGACCACACATTCTGGCCAAAAAGGAAATTTTGTACAGGAAATTTTTGCCTAGGTTCTCTCATTCCAGGAAATGGATACTCATATTTATTAACATTTAAGGAAAACAAAGGGAGTAAAAGCCTGCTTTCTAGTATCTGTTCTGACTTCCATCAGTATTTGCACTGCAGAGTGCTGCTGACCACGTAAGAATGCTACATCACTTAGGCAGCATGCCTTGCAGCAGGTGAGTGTCAAATTATTTCAAAATCATTTTAGGACTGTATCCTTTGCCTCTGAAACTGGTGGAATTGGCGTTTCATTGCTGAAGCGCCATATGACAGGAATCATGGTCATATGTGCAAGCCATATGACAGCACATATGACAGGAATCATGGTCGAGGAGGGACCATGGGAGAGCCCTGCCACTGGGCTGAACAGAACCTTTCTGTTCACATAGGATCTGGACAAATCAGTACTTGACTTCAACTACAGCAGTAAAGGACAGAAATGAAGTCCAGCAAAGAGCATAAAACTCCTACACGCTCTCACAGCACCTTAAAGCTCCAGACACGTAGGCATAGCTGTCAGTGGGTTTTATCTAAGGAGTTTAAAGGAAGCTCTGACTTCTTGCCGTTTACAGGACATGCAAACCAGCCGTGGACCAGTTTTAAATTTGGGAGCGTGCCAAGACCATCCTCGACTTGGATCTGAGACAGCCAGTTCTTTATTTCCCTGTATTTGAGGCAAGTGCAGACAGCACTGGGAGGGACACCTCTTCACCCAACGCTCCCTGCACATCCTCAACTCAGAGATGACACCACCGCTGCGAGCAATCCCTGCTGACAAAAGGCTGCCTGCAGAGGGATAGAAGAGCAGCACAGGGAAGGGAGAGTGAATGTATGAGGTTCTCGTGCACTAGGATATGTCATTCCCTACAGGACACAGCAAGTCACCTTCCCGCTTCATAGAATCTGATGTCTTCTCAACCACCAGTGCACTTGTTGGCACCTTAACTCGTAACCTCAACCTTCAGCTTAAGCAGACCCAAAATGAATTAACGGTATTTTGAAACTGGTTGTTAAAAAGTTTTTGTCAGAGACAAAATCTAAGACTTTCATAGATTATTTCAAAAGATGGAAGTAGTAGACACTTGTTAGACAAAAGAAGTTCCCTGAAAGAAAAGGACCATAGTTTTTTCTTCTTAAAAAGATGGCTCATTGTATCTCAGGTTGCACAGCCCAGCACACCTCAAAGCCAGTAACTCTGAGGAGCTTTGCCCACGTTCAAGAGATCTTCCATGGGATCTAGCAAAGGATAAAATAGGATAAGACATGGTTTGAGGATACAAAGCTTCAAGATGTTGACATCTGTGGTTATTTGAAGTGTACTTGAAGCTAGGATGAAGGAGACAGTTCTCAGGTTCTGTTTACTGTCAGAGAAGGAAAGGAAGTTTGTGGCCTCCATCTCTTGTCCTCACACAGAGGACGTGGAGAGGACCAAGTGAGAAGCAGAACAATACAGTTCAACAGTTTCCTGTCTGATGTGCCCGATTCACGTTTATCGCCAACAAAATCTGAGAAATAACTTTGCTTTCTATAGAATAAACAAGTTCCTACACGCTTGAAGAAAATGAGAGGAAAAGCATCAACTATTTTAATATTTACAAAAGTAAATGAGGAGTGGAAATTCTACAGAAAAGGGCTTCAAGGCTATTTATTAACAACACAGACTGGAAGAGATCCATATCTGATCAGCTTTTGTTTTCAGCACACAACAAAGCCTTCTTCCAGAAAGAAGGCAAATAATTAAACTTTTGTTCACCAGCGTTAAAGAACCTATTTGTAAGAAACTGAGCCTCATGCAACGTATTTCATAGAAACAGAAAAGAGAGAGAAAGAGAGGCAAAAATCCGGTCATATACTTGACTTCAATAACCAGCTGCAGAATAAATTAAAAAAAATAAAATCACAAACTACATTTGCTATACGTAGGCAGCTTGTTGCAAAACAGCATCTGAATTTCAAAATGGAAGAGACTGGCAGAAACACGCCAGCATATCTGACACTGCACTGCTCAGTAACGAAGCAGTCACAAACCCACCAACAAATGCATCTTAGAAGTGTTATCACAACAGGGCTTGCTGCTTATTGGGGTTTAACTGCACTCAAAAGCTGCCCTGCAGTTTTGGTTTTTTTTAAAAAAGCACAAATCTTTAAGAGGCCCAACACAGAAGTTATTTTTATATTGAATATTTGCTGCTTTAAAGCATTTTTAAGTAGGAGATAAAAGGGTTGATCCTTTGGCTTGGTGCCAAAGTTCTTAAGGCTAAGCAAAACAAATACCATATCTGCTTTCAGGTAGTTAAGTCAAGCTTCCCTATTAAGAGATGACGAATGAAACTAACTGAACTCTCTTACCTGTCTGTCCTCCACATAAAATGTTTACTACTTCCTAAAGCACATGGCATTTTCTTCAATGAAAAGTTTAGTTATTTCAAGTCCAATTCTTTGAGCTGCTGAGTACCACTCAAATATTCAATATTCCTTAAAAAAAACCAAACCAAACCAAAAAAACTTAAAGAAAAATCAGACCTTAAATCCATGGTATGTCACACATTTGTGGATAGAGAGGGACAGTATTAAGAAAGAAGACTGAGAACTTGTTGTAAACTGAGTATCTAAACTACCTTCCACTGAACTAAGCAGGGAGGATCCAGTGGCATCAACTAACATCAAATCAGATACTTAACACAAGCTGACCTCTACTGTGGTCAAAGGGCAGTAGCCTCTCACACACTGCAGTTTTTCCACCTATTCCCCTCATCCCGGGTTCTATTTCCAGATTCTCCTCTGATCAGCTAACACTATTTTCTAACACTACAAGCATTAGACATAAATGGAGAAATGCCAGCAATTGGAGGCTTGTTGGGAAAGAGGAAGCTCTGCTTGAAGGCTGCAGCCTCCAAAAGCCCTCAGCCAGAAGGCTTAGGCTGTCTAGACACAGGTAGTGATGGTGAAAGAAAAAAATAGTCTCCCGGTGCTAGGCCCATGTGCGATCAAGTCAATCTTCAGCAAACAAGACAACACTTCTTTCATGGGGTTTTTAAATGACCCTATTAGCCAGGAAGAGATGAAAATATATGCATGACTCTAGAAAACAGAACAAGATAGAGAGGCAAGAGATACTGGGGTTCACTAGGAGGAGGTGTAAGAAAATACCAAGGCCTGCAACCGCATCAAGGTTATTGAGCTGGTGTATTCTGAGGTCTGTTTCAACTAGGAAGGCTTGACACTGTGTGGCCAACGGTGGACACGTAATAGCTGGTGTTAGCAGTTGCATGCATCCTCACCATGACAGTGTGGTGCACACAGGCAGATGCCAAGTGAACTGGGTGCCACCCAACCCAACTCTGTGCTTGGGAAAGAAATGCTGTTTGGGGAATCAGAGCCCAATTCCCACACTTCCACTCCTTTCATCAAGCTTTTTGACACTTTTTAAAATACCTTCAGTTCTTTCCTAGCAAGATGGCAAATTAAAAGTCAGCTCTGGTATCCCAGCACTGATCCCCTTCAGGAACTGCATCCACAGTGCATGTATAGCTTCAGTTATTAACTCTGTGACTGGCAATGCTGCAATGAGGGTGAGATAACGGAAGACGAGCCGTGGCACTCAGCTGAC